GAAGAAATGCTATTGGCTAGCTTGATCTCGGGATGAAATGCGATTGGCTAGCAAAATAAACAAGCAGTGGCTAATCTATTTTGTTGAAATTTTGTTATCGAAGACGAAGTACAAATCACTGTTTAAAAACCGGATTTATCCGTTTCTTTTTACTTAAATACGTCCTTGTACTGCTTCAACTAAGCTTTCTTAATTTCTTTATTTCCCCATTCAGCGATGAATTCAGGTAAATAAACAAATAAATTCGCGTTCGGTTGCCATTTAAAACAAGAAATTTTCTGGGACGCCAATTCTGTGCGTCTGTCCTTATATAGATCATAGCTTTTGACCAATGAAACTGCTAAAATTATTCTGGTTATTATATGATTAACAAATAAATAATATTTAAACGTTGTCTATACAGTTATAGATACACAGGTATGACGTCAATTGTGATAAAAACTAAAAAAGTAGCCACGAGCCGCCATGAGATTTAAAAAAAATGTCAAATCAAACGGTCAAACAGTTTGTTGTTTGTTTTCTTTGTTCCCCAACACTTGGAACATTGAAAAGTCTTGATTTTGCAAATATCACGCTTACGTGATATATAGGATTGAAGAATCGCTATTGGCTAGCTTAATCACGCGATAAAATGTGATTGGCTAACAAAATAAACAAGCAATGGCTTATCAATTTTGGTGAAATTTTGTTATCGAGGACGCAATACAAATCATTGTTTGAAAACCGGATTTTTTTCTTTTCTTTTTGCTCAAATGCGTTAACTGCCTCAACTAAGTCTTTGTAAATATCTTTATTTTCCCATTCAGAGAGGTATTGCGATAAATTTTCAAATATATCCGACATTTGTCTGTTTTTATAAACATGATTTTTTGTGTGACGTCAATTATGTGTGTATGTCCTCTTATAGATCACGGCTCTGGACCAATGAAAATGCTCACATTCTTCTGGTCATTTAAGAAATAAAAGATGTTTACTGTGTTTGCACGGGCTTATGCAAACCGAGGAGACCTTTGAGAAAAATCGAGAACAGATCAGTGCAAGCCCGATACCAAAGGTCGAGGGTTGCACCTTCTCGAGAGTTCTCACTAACGTCTCCGATGCTTGCATAAGACAGTGCAAACACGAAAAACATCTTTTATTTTTTTTATAAAATAACAGCGATGCGAAACAGGCAAACATTTTAATTTTTCTGCTAAAATGTGTTCATAATCGATTTGCAAATTCTCTTTAATTGATTGATTTTTATGATTGATAAATTCGTCCACCAGAACGCGTAGTAGGGGAATTTAGTGGTTTGTACGTGTTAAGGGAAACCTACGGGGAAAACTATAAAATGTAGGGGGTTGTAGGGAGAAAAGAAAATCATTTAAAAATGTGCCTCATTTTTGCCCAAAATACTCTTTTCTTTCAGGGTTCGCACCATTTAGCAAGTGATTGTAACAGAATCTTTCTTTTGGCAAAATTTGTGACCATATATGGCAATAGAAGATCAGCAACTTAGCAAAAACTCAGTGTTTTATTTGCGCCACCTGCATGCCATTACTTCCTACGCGAAATTCTAACTTTGTCGTCTAGATGTTCTTAGTTTTCGATAAGCCTTTTTTTGTATGCATTTTTTTTAAAACAGACTAAAAAATTCAATGGTCTGACCCAACGTAGGTATATAATAGGAGGATATGTTGTTGTGTAGGGGAAAAGTAGGAGAAAACAAGGAAAATCATTGTAGGGGGAGGTAAGGGGAAAATAAAGTTTTGGTAGGTGAAATGTGCATACACAGAATGGCAGCACAGGTGTGAAGGTCAAACTGCCACGCCATTTTCACGAAAACTTGACGAAATGTAGTGTATGCCAAATTACTAAATTATAAAATACGAATTTATCGAATTTCTCTGGTTAAGGTAAGCCTTTCAAAAAATTACTACGTAACTATAATATGTTAGTTATCAAACGATACGTTTATGGCGTAATTCTTTCGGGCATCTCAAACTACGGCAATTGTTATTTATCCTGTAGTTATTTCGTTATGTAATTAATGTTTATTTTACCGTATTTATGGTTTATATGACTTTTATTGTGTTATGATTCTTTTAATTTTATCGTAGCATTAAAACTTAAGCAGGCAAAAGAACAGAATTGTAAAACAAACGAACTTAGAGCTATAGAACGACAGAATTTGGACTTGTACTACTGTACCGGGCTGGAAAGTATGTCGTTTTTCGACGAGATCTCCGGTGCGCACTATGAAATTACTGGTGCGCTGGTGTGCAAAATAAATTTTATGGTGCAATGGTGCGCATATGACGATCAAAGCATAATAATATTAAATTAATATACGAAGTACCTATCGCTAATCTCGGTGTACACAGGTTGTTTTCAGTGTTTTGTTGTGTCAAACATGTTGTACGTCGCAAAATCTTTGGAAGGAAAAATAGTAATTTAAGGAATATTGATGATACAGTGTGTGATATTGCAAGAGACTGAATCTTGCTTTGTAAGCCTTTGTTGCTATTAAAATATCGGAAGTTACTGTTTATAAAAATGTCATTTCTCAACGCATAACTTCCGTTTGAATTGGATGTGAATATCTCAAATTTCGCCCACGTCTGCACAGAACTGTCAATTAAATTATCGTTCGCGGACCGTGGTTGGCGCATACTTTGAAAAATCCTCTTTTTTCCTCAAAATATAGCAAAGTAAATGCATCAGGCGTCAGCATGCGTCAACATGTTGAGTTCGTGTTATTCGTCATGAATAACATGAATTGAACTTAAATGAACGAACGGATTTAAGTGATTTTATTATTTTACAGAACAGTATTTATAGTATTCATTACAAGATCCACACGCTATATGAATGCGTTGTTAGAATGTGGTGTTAGGCCCGTTTCAAACGACAAACTTTAGAAGTGCCGAATGCTTTAAAAACAAAAGATAATGAGGAATTTGCCTCATTTTTCTTTGCGTGAAATGCGTTCGGCGCATGTAAAGTTCGACGTTTGGAAACAAGCCTTAGATTAATATTATTTCGCCTAAAAAATAAAAAGTATATGCGTATAGATGTTTAAAACTTATTATGAAATTATTTTTCAAACAATTTTACGTTCAATTTTAAATATTTTTGGGAAAACTTTTAGTCATGCATTGTTGCATGACCTGCATGACCGCTGGCGCCACTGGCTATAATTTCATAAAGTCGGTGTCACCATTGTAGAAAGTAGTATTAAGATACTGTTAGACTTATTTTATTGGTGGGTTTATTTTGATGTAATAAGCACATGGTTGGCACTTAGCACATTTGGACTTGGGATTAGGTTGTCTAACGGACAACTTGTAATCATGTTATCAATAAATAACTATATAAAAAAGCAAGAGGCATTCACGCTTTTTAAAACACACATTTCGGTCCTCTTCTGTTTTTTAACGTGCTCTGAAAATGACTTTCTGAAATTGAGGAAGATGAGACAAACGTACTTGTCAATGTAAACTCGCAACAATCAGCTGAGGTGAGCATTGTCCTTTCATCATTTTTCAAATTGCTCTGAATGAATTCTAAGATTATTCTAAAGAAATACTAAATATCTTCATTTAGGAAAAATGGAGTGCCATATTTAGACGAAAACGACCATCACTATCTCTGAATGCCAATACTCCACCGGAGAAGAAGGTGAAAAAGGATCAATGTGATCAATACATATGTCTGCTTTGTTCACAAGAGTTGACTAGAGGATCCAAGTCGTACAAACAAAGGCAATCGGCAAGAAAGCATAGTGGAGAGAAAGGAAATTATATGTCAGTCATTGTGCCAATATATCACGTGAAGGCTCAAGCATTGTTAAAACAAAAAAAATTCAACAAAGGGAAGAGCAGAGAGCAGAGACTGTTAATACAGTCAATACAGATCTGTCATCGTCATGCACATCCACGATCACGTCCATTTTTTCTGGTCATGAGGTAAATGCGAATGAGGATGACAGCACTCAGACCAGTACTTCTTATACTGGAAATACGAATGTTATATTTCCAAATGTATTGGTAACTAAGGATAGCAACACAGCAGGGAAAATACAATCCACGGTAGCAGATTTTTTTGACGGATCTTAAAGATTCAACGAACAAGGATCGAAATAGATTGATGACGTATCAGACAATCCTATTGCTAGAATTGAGGATGGTATCAACCAAATTCTAGTCAGATTACAGGCATTAAACATGGATGGTGATAATAGAAGAAGATCAAGCCAAAACCAATAACAACCGAGATAGAAGCTGTTAGCGATGCTGGTGTGAAGGCTGCCAGCAATTTGGTGGAATTGTCCAATTGCGAACAAATACAAGTCGATATTCTGACAGATGGATGCCACGTAACCTGTGTTCCTTGCCACGAATATATCAAAGGAAATTCTCTTTTAAAATGCAAGTGATTGCTAATTGTAGAATACAAAGTGTATAGATGTAATCTGATTAACACATTTCCTTAACTTTTAGGAATGGTAAAACAAATCCTGGGGCCTTGGTCTGATCTATGTTGCTCGGACTGAAAAGTACTCACAAGGATCCAACCAAGAATGGTACAGTTTTAAGAACAGAATCCTCGAACATGTCAACTGTAGTTCAACGCGAAATGCTGGTCGATTCCATATGAAGGCCTTACAGTATCATTTGAGTCAGAAACAACGAAAGGAAAGAAACATTGACACTAGCGTTAAGCTGGTGTCTGCAGGAATAAAAATATGTAAGATCAAGACTGCGGCTTTATCGTACGAGTCATTGGTAGCATTCCTTTCCTTTTGTGGAGTAGACGTTGGGACTATCGGACATGGAAGGTTTGATTTTAAGGGGTTATTTGTATCGCGGGTGTTTTGTCATTAATCTCAGCTGTCTATCTTCCAACATTATAGAAAGCAGTTTCCACACATAATAAAGGCTGCATATATATCCACCTCATTAAGCAAACGGCATCGTATCTACAAAAACCTTTGGTAAATACTGGCTTGCCCCCCACTTTTTAGTTGCAATAGACAAATCTACTCCTCGCAGAGACACGAATCAGGCCATAATGATCTTTTTACCTGTGAATGGTAAACGCACTGCGATGCCAATTGATGCTCCACTAGTGTACGAGTACAGAGATGCAGATTCCGATAACGAAGACACTATTAGAGGAGGTTATGGAGAAGATCTTGCCGTACAAGTAATTGAAATTTTAAAACGATCATTGCAGCTAACTAGCTCGGATTTAAGGCTGTTGCGAGGTAGGATGTTATTATGAGAGCTGACTCAGTCGATGTGTGAGTAATTTGCTAAACACGTTCTCCATTGGCTTACTTTCATTTTCTAATTGCTTCTAGGTGTTCATGCTGATGGACAGTACCAAGCGAGTACATTTCAAACGAAGCTATACGAAGCTATACGAGCTTTTGGGGATGCATCGAAAACCAGATCCATACTTTCCTCTTCCTTGGGATGCATCCCACTGGCTAGACCTAGCGATCGTTGAGCTACGTGAAAACTCCTTGTCTTCCAATTTTATCAAGCTTATCATCAAACGCTCTAATCGCTTGCACACATTATTTGGAAGTGGCCGAGGACATGCTGAGTACAAGACTTATTCCTAAAGTCAAGGATTAAAAGCGCTCGAAACTGTGACATATGCAACCACGCGATTTTCCAGTTCTGCTTTCGATCAATGGAAGAAAATTTACAATAGTTATCCCGCTTTGGTTACGGCATACAGTGCAAATCGAGAAGATAAAAAGGATGATTGTGAGGAGACAAAATATCAACTCAGAGGTCAAGATTTTTCCATAGATATGTGTGGAATAATTGATGTGTTTCAGCCAGTTGTTTCGTTAATGATCAAATGTCAGAGCTCAAACGTGCCTCCCTGGAAAATTGTTGCTTGGTTTCCGAGAGTCATTGATATCTTGGAGGATATCAGGACAGAATTAAAGCGACTTAAGGACGGAGATGCTGTAAAACCAGGTAAAACGTTGTTGCCAAGACTTGCAAAACATTGGCAGAATTGACAAAAGAAGAAGTTGAAGAATGTTCGTTTCAAGGAATAAAGTCTACGAACGATGGCTCGTAGTCAATGAGAGTGAGGACTGTCTACAGACAAGACTGGGAAACAACATAAGAGAAAGACTATTACTTGGGAGGCACGATCACCAAATGATTGCCTAGATGGTCTTTATAAACTCAAAGAATATTATTCCAATTTGTCTGGCATCTCGCTACAAAACATTAAGATCGACAACATCACTAAGGTAGAAATCAAGGATCATCGAAGAATTTGTGTACACCAGCATGTACACAAATGAAGATATAATAAAGTCAATTGGCCAAGAAATGTGCATTGCCGTTGACGTAGCTCTTTCCACAAGTGGTTGTGAGGCTATAGTAGAAGGATTTTATAGTCATATGGGTACTCACAAGAAAACTGGAGCCAATCTAATGAGGTTTTGGTTCATAGATCTATAGTAGATTGGTGCGTTCCCCATCCCGTTTTATGTCCTCGTACCATGAGAGACATTGCAGAAATTTATACAAACGGTGATGAAGACTATAAGCTACCAAAGCATCGGCTACCATATTTTAAAGAAGACAGAGCTTCAAATTTTAAAGTGAGCAAAGTTGTGGATAGAGTGAGGCAGGAGCCTCCTCGATGTCCATATGTTTTGCATGAAAATGATTTTGGTGAACTATGACGGAGTTGAACTCACTCAAGGATTTATAGTTTTAAAAGCGATATATTATCTTTTAGTTTTTACTTTATCTGTACACTGTAAATGTACACTGTAATTGTAAATGCTTGTTGCCATTGTAAACTATTCAACAAACACGCAAGAGCTTAAACAAAGTTAACTACTGCGTCATTTCAGGAATACTCAGCACCGCATGCATCATTGAATTACCCTGCCACGCCCACAAATATGGCGGAATTTTGCCACGCCCTAATATGCCTGGTGTGCAATAATATTATTAAAAAAACATCTCCGGGGTGCAGAAGACATACTTTCCAGCCTGGCTACTGTAGAGTGTGAAACTATAGTAAACCTAGAGCTTAGAACCCAGACCTACATAGAAATAAGAAGTACAAACTTTGTCGAACTCTAAAACATAGAACTTAAAACTGTAGAACTACAGGAGCTAAAGCTATGAAATTGTAGAACTATAGAACCTTGAAATATTAAACAGTACTCTTAGAACTATGGAACCAACATTGAACTAAAAACTGTAGAGCTTTAGAACATAGAGCTCAAGAACTGTAAAACGGTAGGACTTTAGAGCTATAGAATTATAGACAGTATATATTATGTTTCTTGTACTCTAGCCTTGGGATATGCAAATCATCAGTTTTAAATTTAATTATCTTCTTTAAAATACATAAATGTTATGTTGTAAAAATTCAATGTTTTTCAGAATTGTTTCTATTCCAGTAAATGTAAAATCTTGAAGGACCAGAAATCTCATTTTTCTATAATATCAAAGTAGAACAAAAGTAGTCGGTGTCTTAAAACAGGCAGAGTTTATTTTCAATCTGTTGTATTCGATTGTTTGAATTATTTCAACTTGGGGTTGAAATGACAAATAATCGTTAGATCCTGAGTATTTGTGCAAAATTAATTTGCCTGATGATTGTATTCTTGTTCTGTGCATGGAAAATTATGCAAGCCTAAACCTACCAATACAACAACACAAATGGTGAATATCAAAGCAGTAATACATTGATTGAGTTGTCCTTCTAAAGCAGATCTTTTCACTTTAGAGGCTTTTGGACACAAGTCAATCAGCTTAGAGTTTCTATTGATTGCTACCATTTATAGTTAGTCTGGTTGACTTTGTTAGTTTGAATACTTTGTATGTTGAGAAAATGTGTGCTTGATGAACATGAATGTGCGTCATACATGTTACCTGATTTGACTGCTGTCTTTGATGTATTGATTCTATCTTTGAGAATATTATGCCTGCTTTCAACTTCAGACTACTAAGGATGAGCATGTTTTCAGAATATTCAATGCCACCTATGGCAAATCACCACAGTTACATGTCCATGGTTATTACATATGTCCCCTGACTAACAAGTTTGGCAAAAAGGCTATCTTTAATTTCAACTTCTTGAAACAAAGATATTCACCTTTATGCTGTTGCATTAGTTCAATTTCAGCTTACATCACTTTCTGTGAATGGAAATGAATGTGGGTTGTACTTGTGCATGAGTAGTCGCCAAATGAGTTAGTCTTGGGGTCTTAAATTATTGGCCATTTTAACACGTCAAAATATCGCAAACCAATACTATTTCAGTATATGGTAGACTGAAGATCAAGTCTGTTTTAGTGTAATTATGTTCTTTTGTTCTTGTCACTTTGGATAATGTGAAACATGGACGGATTTTCACATTTTTTGTAGCGTTGGTGCTAACAAATTTAGGGGTGAGTTGGTAAGGAAGTGATGTAAGACAGAGTCTAGATTTCAGTGACGTGACATACGAATAGTGCAGTCACCGAAGGTAGTGTAGAGAGTTGAAAACAAGCTATCACGGTACAGTTCACGCAAAATAATTTTACGAACAAACGTTACGCTTGTTTAGTTTTTATTGCATGGCTACGTTGTCATTCAGTGTAGTATGAATAAAGTATAAAATTATTAATTTTAAGTGCCAATATCAGGGTCTGGAAAAGGACTTCATTTGATGATTATATCAATTTTGAGAACATTTGATGATTCGGAAATTTTATCTTCATGGTCTTTTTTGGCTTAGAAAGTGACTCTTCGCCGGAAGTGACGTAAAAAGGAGAAAACGCATTTCTACTTTTATTTGATTAATCTCTCAAACGATGTAGTCAAACTATACAACAATGCGGCATTTAAATTTGCAGTGCTTTTTTGAGAAGACTTGCTATAACTGAATGCGCGTATTCTCCTTTTACGTCACATCAGGTGAGGAGGAACTACTTCTAGCCTTAAAAGGTCATGGAAATATAATCTTCGTCCCATGAAATATGTTGTAAATGTTGTAAATTCGATTTAATTATTTGAAAAGTTATTTCCCTGACATTGGCATTTTAATTATGAACTATTGAATGGTACCTGTACAGTGCAAGGGCAAAAGCATATATTCAACATTGTCCAACTAACTTCTTTTGAAATTACAAAAACTAACATTGCGCGCAGAGCTAAATATATAAATATTCATCCACCCACCCTCCACACCCCAAATTTCGCTTTGGACCTGTGCGTAAGTAATAAAATTAAAAGTTTCAAAACTTTTGCTTAAGTTTTCTTGACAAGTGCCTAATCTTGAGGATAAAGTCGAAATTTCGCTAACATGTTAGTGAATGGGAAAAAAGACATGCAACTGTATACTTTAACAAAGAGAAATGTGAGGCTTACTCAGATAGATATATTTTTTTTGGAGTACGTTTTGCTGTTTTGATTTGTTATTGCAACTGCCAACTTCTCAAAGGTTAATGCACGTGTTTAAGTTCTTGCATAGACCATTGCTGCTGTTTTCATTTCGTATGGTTAGTTTTAATGCTGCGCATTCGAAGGCAGACTAAAAAGACAAAATGTCTCGTTTTCGAAATGTAAGCTACATTATGGTGCCAGCACTTATATTTAATTATATTTAAAATATCTATTGTCAAGTGGCTATTTAAACTCCTTAATTAAAACTTAAGTATCGCACAAAACGTTCTCTTTATTTTTTGAAACAATACCCAGAAAAGTTAAGTTTAACTGTAATACTGACTGGTTTTGCTAGAAATTGTGGATGTGTTAAAATATACTTTCAGAGTTTGAACAGTTTAGTTAGGGTTGGGGAGGGGTTGAAATCTAATAATTGGGGTTTGGCATCATCCTGGACACTCCCACCTCCGAGAGAATCTGTCCAAGGTTTGAAAAATTGTAAATTGACTTGCCTTCGGTTCGTGTTTTGTGTGCTTTTCTCAACTCTTGCTTTTTTTCTCATGTTTGGATCACACCATTCACCCAAGTATGGAAACCATTAAGTGATTGCTTAATAAAGTAATAACAAGAGGGTAGAGTTTTAAGTTAAATAAGTCTACAACGTAGAATCAACGAGGTTCGAGTCTTCAAAGGCTTAGCGAACGTTTTTAAAATACAAATTACACCGTCGCATGTAATTTTCGTGGAATATTCGTTGTTTCCCTTTCTTGTTTCAAAGATTCGGGCTTTTTCCATACTTGTCTTTTGCATTCCTCATTTTTGGTCGGCGTTTATATCATATAGCGTTAACATGCACTGACGTCATGATATTAAAATTGAGTTTTGATCATGGTATTTCTTGTCTCAACGCTAGTCTCTAGTCTTGTATATCTGAGACCTCATCTACATAATTTGATTGACTTTTGGCAATATCGGTTTACTCAATTATCTGGAATAAAAGTAAAATGTGTACACGAATAAACAGGAGGAGGAAAGCAAAGTGTACTTAAAGTCGCTAGAGTATACAAGACTAATGAAATTCGTCGTACGTATGAAGTTTTAACTTTCAACTTACTTTTGCCAAAATTTTGTTCTTTATTTTTAGTTTGAAAAATGGCTTCACACCCTGACGTTTTAAAAATGGAGGCAAATGGATCTCGTTTGAACAAGCTTTTAATAAATAGAGGAACACAAGCCTTGAGAGAAACATTGCAATCTCTTTAAAACCATCAAATTTAGCTGCCGCACTTAATGATACTTCTATAAAGAGTAAATTGAGATCACTAAAACACAAAGTCATCTCTGAAGAGTTATGGAATATTCTTTACCCAGCAACCGGTTCTCCGGAAGTTGAAAACTTTTCTATTTCTTTATTGGTTATCTTATTACGAAACATTTGTGGTCTGAAAGCACCAGCTACTGGATGGAATGCTTGTCCTCCCTCTTCAGATTCGTCAATCTCATCAAATATTGCAAGAATAAAGTTTTACAATAACAAAGTGATGGGTCACATAACTACAACTAGTCTTGATGACAGCAAGTTTGAACATTTGTGGGAAGAAATATCAAAAGCATTGGTTGGTCTGGGTATTCAACAAGCTGAAATCGATGAATTAAAGTATGCTCCACTCAGTCCCCATGAGGCCTATTACAGAGAAATGTTGAAAGACTTGCAAACAAAACCTGAACTGGATCTGCCAGGTAAAGTTTTTCTTAGATTGATATGCCTAATGATTTCTTGCATGTAAAAATTTTAGAATTTGACAAACTTTTCAGGAAAACGTAAATTTCACCTTTTGCGTCAAACTAGCTAAAACAAACCATTCGCATTTTTTGAGCAAACCAATGACATTCTGTTCAAAGCCAGGGCGTATTTTGAGACTGAGCAACAAATGTTCCCACTGTTGCGCATGAACTAACCATGTTAGTTGACATGTTTATAACCCTTCCAGTTCCATAGTCTAGCTATATTTGTAGTGCTTATTCATATACTTTGTTTTTATGGAAGCTGAGGAAACTCACGGTAGCTTGTTTCGAACTTTTCATTTTTGTTTTTAAATTTTTTACTTTAGTGTTGTTTTTGATAATAATGATCATTAGTAAGTATATAGCAATATCAGAATGTTAACTTTTTTTGAACAGGTTTAGGAGTCCATCTCATGCTTCACTAGTTATAATACAAATATATTTGGTTAAATTTTGCACACATCTAAATGGCAGTTGCGTGCAGTATATCATAAACCAGCATAGTTAGCTAGCTGCGGTAGAATTGGATGGTTAGCAGTTTATTCTTTCACTTCGTCTAACATCATGGCTGTAATGTCTATGATTTATCATACGTATTTTGACGCATGGAAAATAGTTATCTGTATTATAAATATGATGCTCTTCTAGCTCGTAGGAAGCTATGTTATTGGAGAGGGCTCATACTCAAGTTAAGGGCGTCATGTGATTTAGAGGCAACTTAGGGCTTGTTCATATGAGCCGGGCTGGCCAGTAGCGAGATCTCGCCTCTTTTGTATTACATATAATTTCAAATTTGATTTATATGAGAGGCGGTCTGGCCCGTCTTGCAGGGATCTCGCTTGAGCGAGGCAAGACCTCGGCATAAACGGGCTCATGTGAATGCACTAGAAGGGCTAGCCCGGCATGCCGGATCAAAATTTTTTACTAGTGCGCATGCTCATGAAATTCAATTCGATGAAAAATAGAGGGAAGCAAAAGAACAACTTTCGGTGGACCATAGACTAATGCATAACATTGAGTTTCTTTCAGCTTGTATTATAAAAGAAACATAAAATATCGGGATTTATATTTTTATGCTGCGTGTGTGATTACTTATTTTTGTACTTGTCGGACAAGCCCGCCTCATATGAATGAAATAATAAACTGGCGAAAGGGTGACAAAAAATCAATGTGCTTGGGGTATTTGTAAAAATTGTTCTTGCTATCCAAACTTTAAGAAATACTATTAAAATATTGATTCAGTATATTTATATTATTTTACAACGACAAAGAGCTTGCCAAAGAAAAGTTTGTAATATATTGACTCCAAATACAAATGGCGAATATAGCTGTCTTCAGCATATAAATTTGTCCGACAATGACACGCACACACTATAATCCATCGCAAATATTTTTTGGCGCTGAGAACCGATGGAAATAAACTTGATCACCATTTTCATTCTTTTTCATCTAGTTTGGATAGCGACAATCGTTGTTACAAGGACAACAAGCGCATCACGTTTATGCCTTTGTTTTCTACTAGTCCACACTAGTGACACCACTGATTCGATATTCACATTTTCCTTCGTCTATTAATTATAATTGACTGTAAGAGGTACCCATATTACCAACAGAAAAGTTGTTGTTTATTAATTGATAATCATATTTGCATCATAAAACAGCCAAAAGAACACAATAGTTCTCGAAATTTTTCAAGTTAAAACAGTCAACGGCCGTATAAGAATATATAATAGAGCTGTGACAATGTACCCAACGTTTACAGTTTCTAGCACGTGACATGCGAACATACTATACTTGCTTCCTTTTGGCGAAGTGGTGGATTGTTCTTTTGTGGCACAATCTGTATTTTATTCTTTTTGTCCGCAATTCGCATTTTATTATTTTTGTCGGTAGTCTGTATTTTTTTGCGCGTCCGTCTGTCTGTTCGCATCTGCATTTTATCCCAACCCCCAAAATGATCTTTAATTTATATGTTTACTGATTTTATACTGAATGTATAAAAGAAACTTTTTTCTTGCAAACGTGATTCGGCAAATTTATGCCGTCGCCAGTGCAAACAAATGAGCTAAGTTACATGGAGGAGAAGGGGGTAAAGATAACCCAACAGGGAAATTTATGAGACAAACTTATTTTAGTCGATTTCAAGGCTCTGATTTCAAAAGTCCATGTTATAGGGGCGTCCACGGGGGCGTTTCCCTACAATTTTAAAGTAAAACTTCTGCAAACCATTATTCTAAATAGAGTTCACTGGTGTAAACACAATTTAATATAGTGATTTTAGCATTTTAAGACTGTTTTGGAGTCTTTTGAAGCTTTGAGCGTTAGAAATTTCACGAAATTGATATACGTAGCAAATCTTAACTTTAGGAAAAAAAAAATTTAGGTTAGACTTGATTATTCTTACAACTGATTAGGAATTTTAAATCAAGTAGAGCTTTCTCATAACGTTGTTGTGATCTTTGATAGCGTATGCATAGTTTGTGTTAATAGAGTCGGTGTTTCGGAGTTTGGACCAAAAACCATGACCAGCCGACAATTTAAAAATTATAATATAAAGCAAATTCCAAAAAAATTTGTCATTCTGTATGAGGATGACTTTGAAAAAAGGCGAAAATTTACAGTTCACTTCACGTCTTGTTTTGATATATAAAAACAACATACACATGTTTTAAAGTAAATAGGAAAACAAGTTGACGATCGGTATGAATTTTTGTTCATATATTATTCATTACGATTTTTTGCCACCTGATAAATTGATCAAACTGAGTGAAATGTCATTTCGAAGTTTAACTGAATGCAAGAAAATACGCCAGTCACTTGGAGGAGAAAATCATCACAAGAATCAGTGCAAATTATTCCAGCACTTTTAAATGAAGAACCTTTGCACTTTCATAGAGAGTTTTATCAAAAATTTACTTATGGCCCAACACTTCAAAAAAGATGTAAACCTCGTTTAAACCTCGTGTAAACTATTCAACATCTGCAAAATGACGAGTGTGTAAGTGGGATGACAAAACACAACATACCGATGCATAGGTGAAGGTAAAATAGAGTATGTTAGTAGAGGGCAGAGGAAGGTGTCAGTGAGTGATGTGTACAGAGAAAAACCATAGAGATGCGCTGTTAATGGACTAGTGGAAGCTTCATGTTTTATGTGTTGTTTCCTATTTTCTCGAGATGATTTATGGGAAAGTAACAGAAAGAGAAACATGTAATCATTTACTGTTGAAATTTACGCTTGTGTGCGAGGAAGTCATAAGTCCTGCATTTTTATAAAATATAGATATGGCTATATGACGATAGGCTTATGAATAATCGGACTAAAAAAATGTATGATTTAAGAAATAAAGTATTTGTATTTATTGCTTGTTATAGAAGCAATGTTTCAACACTAGAAAGAAATTTCGTTTCATATTATATACATTTTACACATAGTTTTCAAATTTGAAAATGACGTGGAGCAATGAGCATACATCACAACTGAGGTCAGACAATAACGTCAATGATAAAATATCGAATTTTAAACTGTTTTTGTACGAAATGTATGCAATGGCATAAATATGAAACTTTTACCATAGTTTCTGAGTAGCAGCAAGTTTAAAAAACATTTAAAAAAGGATGATTTTTATAAGCAAACATGTTTCTACATTAATAAAATGCCATCTTCGGTACGCAATGATTAGTGCTACGAAATATGATAAAGTATAGGAAGATACGATATGAATAAATTGTTTACACTGAATGGGAATGTGATATATTTAATAGGCGTTTTATTGGCATCCTCTAGTTTTGAGTCTAACTCCTTTCGAGCAACTTTATTCTTAATTCAGACGACTGACACTTAACAATTACTTGGTCTCGACTCTGCTCCGAAAATTGATCTACAAAACTACAATTTTCTGTGTGTCGTCTCAGCTTGATCACAAATTGATCGATGAGTAGTATTAGTTACATAAAGACAAATCGAAAAATCCTATCTGTTATTTTTTAATCACAGTCAAACTGCACCGCAATCGACTAATTACAATCGAGAAATATCTCAAAGTGTAGTTTTACAATCTATATTACATGGTTTTTATGGGTTTGATTGCAATCCACCACTTTCGCCACTTATATTTTCTTATGTCACGTGGTACAAACTGTAAACATTGCGTACATTGTCACAGCTTTCATATATTCTTATATAGCGTTGACTGTTTTGCTTTAAAATTTCAAGTATTTTTTGGCAATTTTATGGTACAAATATCTTTTTTAATTTTGCTATAGATGGCAGTGGTTCTGTTAGTTGTATGGCTGCTAGTTTCTATAGTCAATCATAATCGACTTTAGAAAATGTGAATACTGAATAGTGTGGATGGAAACGATCGTTTAAATGTTATGTGCTTTGTGTATTTCTAACAACGATTCTCGCCATACAAAATTGATGAAAATATTGAAACAAAGTGTATATTTTTAAAGTTTCGTGCACCATAAAAGTGAAATTTTGCACCATATTCAACTTTATGTCTGATTTAAATTAGCTACCTCGTCACATAGCTAAACCAATTTTTGTGACCCCAAGATCATTAACCAGAAGCAACTTTAATCATTTACCTATTGTCTGTTAAAAGATAGTTGTGTGACGAAACTGCCCTAAGAACACATCAATACTCGAAAATTGCTGAAGTGAAAACAGTCATTGCCGTATGAAAATATGCAATAGAGCTGTGAACAGTATAGGGAATATACAATAGGTCCATATCGTCTACAACTTGCTGCTGTATTTTTAATTAGATTATTGGCTTCTGTTAGCCATTTTATCATTCCTATTGGTCAAAAAGCAATTGAGTGGCTGCCACTATGGTAATCACAAGCATAATAAGATATGCGTTGCACGAAAAAAGTCAATGGAGTGGCTCTACTATATATTCACTACTCTGTGGCTGTGACTATGTACACAATGTTCAGAGTTTCTAGGTCCTAGCTGACATGCGAAATATTACTCAATTTTCTAAGCAGAACTTCCTTCCAGCAAGATTGTCTTACATGTTGTTGAGCAAGTTTCAAGAATAAGAGGTAGACATAGAGTAGAGTATGGCCGTGTTTACATGAGACCGGAACGAAGTCAAACCGCGCTACCAGCTTGTGTCGGTCATAATATTATTTACAGTACATGTTTCCATAGGACCGTTGCGAAACTGACTCAGAGCAAACTGGAGTCGTACCGCCTTCTGAACCGATCCGACTGAGTTCAGAACGGTATGAATGGAAACCGGCATCAATGTAAACTCAAATTACTGTTCAGACCGGTCTGAAATGGCATCAACGAATGCGCACAAAACAAATTACAAAAGCAAAATGGCTAGCAAGCGTAAAATTAGCCTGCAAAGGGGCATTTCGCGAATGAGGATTTTCGTGATTTCGTGCCGGTCCCATGTAAACATGCAACAAATTCTGATTTTCATTCCGGTTTTATTTCGTTCCGGTCTCATGTAAACAGGACCTACGTAGATAGGGTGAAGGCAACTATCAGTTATGTACACAGTAAGAAGCGTAGAGAAAAACCAACGAATAGGAAGTGTATGAATACACTGAAGGAAGACAAGGGAACCTCTACTTTATTATTATCATGAATGACGAAGCTTAGCTTTAGTTATGAAAGTGCTCATTTTTAGCAATTTTCTTACAAACATTATCTATTCATACGGTTTTGGTTTAGTGTAAATTAACCATAAGCCAAACGTTTCCATGCAACGGAGAAGAGGAATCATGCTCTAGAATGTAGAGGAATGAGTAATGAGGTTACACGAAGAAGTTCAGATTGATGTAGAGTGTATGTGGAGGGGGTGGAGAAAAGAGTCCTTTGTGTTAAATGACAAAATAATTTCAACTAATATGAAAAGAAAGGTCTACAAGAAAGTTCAAATCCAACATTGTTGTATGGTTTTGACATAGTGGCAATGAGAATAAGACAGATGGCAGAGCATGGAGGTTGATCAAGTAAAACTCTTTAATCGGTCATTTATTAAAAGTTTAGTCGCAAAGATTAGAGACTTTATCTAAAAGGCAAAAGAGTGAAAAAATCTTTTGTTGAAACAAAGCCGTTTGTTAAATCTTCCACAATAAAATATAAACTTATGCATAAGAAATAGCTACATGCTTCAAAAACTTTAATTTTTCTACACTAAAACTCATTTTGTAAGCATTGCATTGTTTAAACGAAAGTGCTATATTAAATTAGAAACAACATTTTTCTCTATCGCTTGCCTTTAATCTTAACACATATATGTTTCCATGATTGATTAATTTTTGGCAACTTTAATGATTGGTGCTAAGATTTTACAAAAATTTAAAGTCGTTATCTAAATTTTAGTCGTATTTGAGTAAATTTGAGGTACCTATTCTTATGAATTTGATTAGTTTTGTTGCACTCACCTCTGAATGTAATACCTATATGTCATTTGAAGATTGGCAGTTACAAGAGTTGGAATATGTTGGTCATTCAGTTCAGCATAGAAGTCTGTTGTCAAAATTGTGTTATCCCGGAGCAGACATTAAACATGTGGGCAATGTACGTGTAATTTTCTCGGAGATGTTTAGTCTCGGCGAAGGAAGTAATGAAACCCGTGTTTATCTTGGACTGACAAAGGATGGTTACGGTAAAGCAGTGAAACAAATGCGTAGAGATAACTACCTCCAGCCTGCACAGCATGAAAAGAAAATTTTAAATGAATTCAATGCAAAAATGTCGAAATATGTTGTGAATTATTACTTCTTTGAGGGAGATACTGGAACAGAATATGTTTATTTGATCTTAGACTTATGTGAGGAATCACTGGAGAAGTTTGTGAAATCTTCTGCTTTAAGTGATCTTCAAAAAGCTCTTCCCGATATTCTTAGACAAATTTTGAATGGATTAGCTGATCTTCATAGTGGCCCAGATCCTATTCTTCATCGGGATTTGAAGCCTTCCAATGTTCTCCGTGACGTAGACGGCAAATTTCTGATAGCTGACTTTGGCATTAGTCGAATGTTGAAGAATGGATCTAAAACATACAAAAGCAAGTTTAATAGGGGAACTGAATATTGGATTCCTCCTGAATCATAATGTGAAGACGAAGATTCAAATGAAGCACGTAATGAAGAAGTAAATGAAGGACGTTACAAAAAAGAGTCTGATGTATATGTAAGTGTAAAAATGTTAACATTTACAAAACTCACACGAAATTTAATTTTGTGAGATTTCAATTTTGCTGTTACAGTTACATTTTTATTATCTTAGAATGCTGGACTGGTGGCTTATTATGTTGCAACAAAAGGAAACATCCTTTTGGAACTAAACGGCATAGATTGGATAACATGTTGAATGGAGACCCTGTTGGCTTGAAGGAACTTAAGGATGAAAGCTTAAAAGACCTTCTGTCTTGGATGTTAAATCTGCAACCCGAAGACAGACCATCTGCTAACATGACGTTAAAACACCCATTTCTTTTGTCAGATGACGAGAAATTTGACTTGTTATGTATTGTTGGTAACCAATTGCCTACAACGACAAATGAAACCCAGTCAAGTGTCGCTCAACAATTGGATAGCGAAACTCAGAATGGAAAAGTAAAATAGATCGTGAAGTATATGACTTTTTAAGAACGGATGAGGTGCATGGAGAAATACATAGGTATAGATCTTCATGGACAGAATGCTTAAGACTTATTCGAAATACTGATCAACATTGGGGTCAAATATCAAAGCGAAGTTTTCTACCAGAACTATTTTATAAGTATGGAAATCACAAGAAATACTTTCTCGAAACATTCCCCAATCTCCCTGTTCGTGTCCATGTTGCTGTCAGGTCAAACGACGAATTGAAAAACCATGAAGAAATACAAAAGATTTTAAAATACAGTTTTTAAACTGCAAAAACATTTTTTTGAAAAGAAATATGGCCTGTACAAAATCGAAGATACAGTTTTTAAAGATGTTCTTTTGCATGAATGCAAAACAATTTTTTTTGAAAATGCATAAAAACGTTCTTGGTGAATTTAATGTATTCAAAGTAATTATTGATACTTTATTAATTTTTAATTTTAAATATACTTTAGGGTAAGATTAAAGATATTTACTTTTGAATTTTGCATATTGAAGATATAGAGATGTAATGTACCTTCACCCAATATAAAAACTAACATAGCAACGAAGATAATAATCACAACTTATTACATCATTTTGTAGCACATTAATTATGTTATTGTAATAACTAAACTCATTCAATTGAATAAAACTGATACCTTTTGCTGCAATTTTGAAGCTGCTCTATCGGATTGAAACTAATCTACGATAAGCTCGTTTCAACTTATTAACATATGCACATCTTTTATTTAGACTGTTTTTAATCGAGTCTCACTTTCTTAATTGAAATAATTCTGGGCGTAAAAACAGTGCTAAATCATTTTAATAGAGAAAATATCAACAGGGCTTCAACCTGAAATAACTTATGTGAAAATTGAATGCTGTAATTTTAAAAATTAAAAAATTTAATTGCAGTTGAGTGTTGGCAATTAAAATTTTTTGGCAATTAAAAATTTAATTGCCAATTGCAGTTGAGTGTCTTTTTGAAAATAATGGCGTATGCACCACTTCAAGGCATCCAGCATAGAGACAGAAAACTTTTTAAAACAAATTGAAAAGTTCACGATTATTTTTCGGGATTTTCGTCTTTTTTTTTAAAAGCTAAGTATGGATTCATGTAGAGAAATGATCCTATTTTTTAGTGATAATTATTATTTTGAATTCATGTTTGTTTTTTTGGTATTATTACTTTATATGAAGGTATGTGCTCGTAACTGCGAAGATAGTTGCCTACCTTTGGTAAATGTATAGTATATACATAACTAATACAAAATTTGCGGCGCACGGTCTGTTACGATGGAATGGGCCGAGTTATCGTTTGTTTATACAATTTAGTAATTTATTGGGCTGCCTACGTTCGTATCGAAGACGGCTGAAACAAACTCGATTTTTGTCACTCATATTTGCATCTTAAAATATTATTTAGGCATACATATATTTATCTAAAGTAAGAACTGTGAATGTTCGAAATATTGGTCATAATTGATATCATCGACTACGGCCAAGACCACAGCCATTTAATAAAATTGACGATCACAAGAAATAGGTGGTTGCACGTTACGTCATGGCCGCCATGTTGGTGGTCAAATACAAAAGAATATTTTATCAATGCTATTGTTGGCTCCAGCCGACGTGGGTGAACCACATTGTTTCATGATTCCTTGGATTAATTGCAATCCAAGAATACTTTCTAATAAACTCCTTCAAGAAGAAATAAACGGGAAGCACGCTCGTATACGCGTCTTTTCTGCACAACTAACACAAGCACACTATATCCTGGCGTTACTAATCTCCAAAATCGACTTTATACACCTTAAGAACGTCTCCGATCGTGAAAACTCAAGAAAACTAACGCAACATCAACTTATCTAAGATGGCAAACTTTTCCGTCTCACATGCAAACATGACTGCATTTTCAACTTTTGCTAACCATGAAAAGCATGACTGCATGGCGAGCTTTAGTTATATGAAAAGCAGGACGCCCGCCAGTGCTCGGCAATAAAGCGGTTACATCTCTGCGTCTGTCACGTGATGAAAGTGCTTGCAGTTGAACATATATATTACTAACATGTCTTTCGATTTCATTCATCAGTTCCTCGAGTAACAAGCCAAAGGAAGGTCTTTCATCTAATCTTCGCATTCCATTTCCATTAAGTTGCTCGTTATTGCCTCTAGAAATCGCTCTGCTGTTGACTGCGAAAAATATTGCTGACACAATGGGTTAACTCTGTCCCAACTTTTCTTCAATACTCTAAATCTAGAGGATCTCTAACCAAAAGTGATAACTGAAAACGAGAAAGCAAGCTGTTAAGACTTTGAAAAAACCTTCTAAGCTGTTCACAAGAGTTGTTTCTTGTGTTCGTGGTCACCATTTTTATTGTGAGAAAACCTTGTTGTTCATTTCTTCGTAATTTAATTACTAGTCTTATCTTTTTGTCATACATCTTTCTCGTCTTAAATTTCTCGTCATATATCTTTCTCGTCATATACCATATGTAGTATAGTTATTATGTAAATTATTTGTATTTCGTACGTCATATTACGTATATTATAATTAAGTAAAGATCTGAATAAAAGTATATGACAAAGCAATAAAAGAGAGAAATCTCACAATATTACATCTGGCGACAAAGATGGGATTCTAACCCACGCGTGCACGACACTTGACTCCGACGATTGGTGAAATTATAAGTGATCTAAATGGTGCTGTATGGTTTAGCAAATTGGACTGAAATCAAGGCTATGACCAGTTAGAGCTCGATGCAGAATCAAGATATTTGACAACCTTCTCAACACACATTGGTCTACGGAGATTTCGACGTTTGAATTTTGGAATAAACTGTGCTGCAGAGATATTCCAAAATGCCATCAGAGAAACGTTGAATGGACTGAGAGGAGTGATTAATATCAGTGATGACATTGTGGTGTTTGGCGTAGACGAGAAAGATCACGATGCAAATTTGAACGCGGTATTACAACGAATTAAAGATCGAGGACTAACTCTTAAGAAGGAAAAATGTCTGTTTAAGAAAAGAAGTTTAATATTCTAAGGGTATGTGTTCTCAGAGAATGGTATTGTACCGGATCCCAATAAAGTGAGAGCAATTAAGGAATGCATAAATCCTAAAGATGTAGGAGAAGTACGAAGTTTGTTAGGTATGACTGATTTTTGCTGTCGATTTATTCCACATTATGCCACAATTACGGAGCCGTTACGTTGACTTATCTAGAAAGACGCCCCATTCGTGTGGACAAGAGAACAAGAAGACACAATGAAAGGCCTACGGAAAGCATTAACAGATGGGCCAGAAAGTGCGTATTTCGTTCTGGATAGTGATACGGAGGTTTTCACAGATGCTAGTCCAGTTGGTATTGCAGCAGTCTTGGCACAGAGGAAAAAGGGAGAAGAAAAAAGGAAAATAATTGCTTACGCTAGTAAATCACTAACTACCACAGAGAAAAATTATTCTCACTTGGAAAAGAAGCTTTAGATATAGTATGGGCCTGCGAACACTTTCATTTATATTTGTTTGGAGGAAAATTCACCATCGTCACTGATCACAAGCCGCTGGTGAAAATATACACAAATCCATCATCAAAGCCATCTGCAACATTAGAACGATGGGCCTTGCGATTGCAACCATATGATTTTGAAATCTGTTTTCAACCTGGAACTGAAAATCCTGCAGATTTTCTCTCACGTCATCCATTATCTAATGAGAAACTTAACAACCGGCAAGAGAAAGTAGCAGAAGAATTTGTTAATTACGTTACACAGAACTCGGTTCCAAGAACAATCAGCAGGAAAGATCTGGAAGAAGCTACAAGAGAAGACATTACTCTTCGAGCAGTAATTCAAGCCATTGAAACAGGCAGATGGTTTGAAAGTTCAAAGATGGTAGGAGTAAATCAAGCAGAATTTATTTCATATGAGAAATTTAAAGATGAACTTTGCATATCTTCGGGTATAATTCTACGAAAACATCAAATAATCATACCAGAAAAATTACGAGAGAAAGTAGTGAACATTGCTCATGAAGGTCATATGGGAATGTCAAAAACGAATGCGTTATTACGTGAAAAGGTATGGTTTCCACGTATAGATGAGTTAGTTAATGGAAAAGTTAAATCGTGTTTAGCCTGTCAGATTACAACTCAAGTCTGTGAAAAGGAACCATTGAAAATGTCAGAGTTGCCAAAATCTCCTTGGAAAGAGCTAAGTATGGACTTTGGTGTAGCTCCTACAGGCACAGGTGAATATTTGTTTGTTTTGTATGATGATTTTTCCAGATATCCCATTGTAGAAGTAATCCGATCAACGTCCGCAAAGACTGTTATACCCTGTTTGGATAAGATTCTTTCGGAGTTCGGGATACCAGATACGATACGCTTAGACAATGGACCGCCATTCAATAGCAAGGAATTTTACGAGTTTTCCAAGTATTTGGGATTTAAACACAGAAATGTTACTCCTTATTGGCCACGAGCCAACGGGAAGTGGAAAGATTTATGCGTACTTATCATAATAGGAATGCATTTTTTCTGGAAGGATTATGTTAATGAACACCCGATTCTTCAGTGTTTCGGAGAAGTTTCGTGAAATGAGTTGAAGAAAAATGACTATTTGCTCTGGGTAAATCAGTCATTGCAACACGCAGATTTCATTTTGATGCACAGACACAAAACATTAGCTG